AACCTCCTCAAATTCCTAAATAGTTCTTTTAATGGTATATTCTACCATATGTCAAAACAGAAATCTAAAACTCCTTTACAATCATGAATGAGTCATATTGAATCTTTTCGGTGGTTATAAAGGAGTTTTTGATTTTCGTTTTATCATCCTGGATACCTATAGAATATAAATATACCATTAACCCTTTGCACTCGAGGACTTTGCCATCCACAAATTTATTTATGTATGAAACAGTCAACTTTTTAAAAATTTAGTAAAGAATACTTTCCTTGAATTTTTATGTATATAGGATCTTGATAAGGTTTGTCACGATCTTTACAATTCCCTGAAAAATATGAAGTAATATATCTTTAGAACTTCGTATAACGACATTGATATACCTGAATGTGGAGTTATATATTATGGACACAATAATTAATGTGAAAATACTGAAATTGAACAGGAACCGAGAATTATTGGCAGCGAGGCTGATCGAGGCTTCGCGAGCGTCATTCAGTAGAAGAAAGACATTTCTGATGCGCAACTGCTTGCATGCACATTCGACAGTTTATGTGGATGCTTGCATATGATACTTCTACGGAAGAAATCTGTAAACTTAACAGGTTCAATCTGTGAAATCTTCAGATTTTATCCATAACGCTTACCAATATGTTTCACTTTTCCGAAAACGATAACCAGAACAGAGTGAATCTGTAATACCAATAGATATTTTTTGTTGCTGCTACAATTTTATAATGCTTCAAGTATACCATTTTTATCCGTGTCAATATTAACAGCCATTTTCACCTGCATTTACAGATGGCTCTTACAGAAATGTTTCTGCTAACTGTACAATATGACGGGAAAATTTGAGGGATAGGCGACTTTGACGCCGCGGAGCTCGCTCTGCGCTAGGCGATGCGGACACGGGCCGTTCGGCCCCGAGAGAGAAGGGAAATGAAAAGCGCGCTCGCAACGAGTGACACGGGCGGCCCTCCGGCCGCCTCGCGGCTTCCTCGCCCGTTGCCCCGTGAACTCGAGAGTTCTGTTTGAGACGGATTTTAAATTGGGGACCCGAGGAACACGCGGGGTCCGGATCACATGATCCGGGCCCTTAAAAGGGGACTCTAGCTACGGAAACCTTTATTTAATTACATCCTGAAACTTGAAATAGGGGAAACCTCGCCGCGCGGTCGCCTAATTAGGCCAAGTTCTGAGGAAGGTTCCGGTTTCCCCGGGGCCCACACTTCCTCTTCGTTCTCCTGAAACACGTGGTTCCCGGCGGTCGGCCCTAGGAGGCTCTCTAACCGGCGGAACCGAAAAAAGAAAGGGGATTTGGGGAAGGGCCACCTTGCGTGGCCCGTTCCTCCCCCGAGAATTTACCCGGGCGGTCGCCCCGTGCGACCGCGACCCGGCGTGGCCGTCAGTCGCCCCGCGCGACTAAAGGGCCCGAAAAAGAGAGGAGAAAACGGACAGAAGAAAGAGAGGTAGAGACGAAAAGCCCCCGATAGTTGAACGCGACTCTAACGGCGGGAGGAGGAGCCCGCGGCGTGGGCCCGTGCTCCGGTTACCTTAATGTCCTAAGGGTTTATCGGCCCCGGCTCGGCAGGCGGTCCTCCGGCTGTCCCGATGCCTCGGCGAGGGCGTCGGTCCAGACTCTGTGGCGGTGGCGAGGATGCGAACTATATTGCGCCAATCTTTGTGGGCGAAGAAGAACGGGCTGCGTTAAGTGGCCCGATTTGTACGGGCTCCCTCTCCGTTGGTCCGGCGGCTTTCGCGGGGTCCCATTGGCCTAATTTTGCGTCGGTTGACACAATTAGCGGCTCCGATGTCGCTGACAGGGATCCTCGGCCGGCGCACTCCCGCGATGGGGCGTCGCCGGGGGCCCGCGGGTTGCCGGCTGGCGCCGTGCGCGAGGTTCTGGGCCGACACCTGTGAGGGCCTCCCCCCCTCGGATCGGTCTCTATATTTCCTGAAGATGTCTCTTGAGTCCTGGTGGCTAGTCCCGGTTGACCTGGGGCTCGATCGGGGCCTTGGCCCCAGGTGTCCCTCCGTCGAGGAGGTCGCCCTGGATGGCCTAGGTGGTCCCCGAGGCGCCACGTGATCCAAATCATTGTCGAACTTTTTGGCCCGTTCGCCACACCAATACATGGCCGCGGACGGGCTCCTTGGGGACGCAGAGACGCCTCCTCGAGGGTGTCGGCGGTGGTCGGGGTCTCGCAGGTGGGCTCCTGCCCACCGGTCCAGCGCTTGGCCGGAACGTCGGCACCCTACCCGCGGGTGGACCTCCTCACGCCGCCAGGGTGAACAGAGGTCCTGTCCCCGTGGATCCGGCATCCGGCGGCCTCTGCAGGTCCGTCCCCTGCGTGGTCCAGGTAGCCCCAGGGGAGAAGCAGGTGCCGCCTTTGGTGGAGTTAACTGGCCCTCGACGTCGTTCCCTAGGTCCTCCTCGTGGGTGCCCGCAGTCGCTTCCGTGGGTCGAGGTCTTAACGGTCCTGATTCCTTGTTATGGGTCATCACGCGGCAGTCGAGCGTCGCGGGCGCCGAGCCGGGTCGTCGCGCTCATCGATGTCGAACCTTTCGAGGCTTCGAAAAGTGGAAATATTCGCACTAGGCGAAGGAAATTAAAATTTGGATGGTACAGTTCCTAATATGGCTTCAGGCCAAAGAGTAGAGGAAAATGATGACACCGTTTTATTTTAGGTTCTCTCAGATACGCCACTTAATAGAGGGATGAGTTAATCGAATCCGATGTACCCAATTAAATAACTAAAACGCCTCTTTTCGGCAAAAGGGAAAGGAAAGGTACTTCGTGGACGATTAAGTCCTCTTAACATCAATTAAACAAAACGGCGCAAGAAAAAGAGGAGTTCTCAGCCTAGATCCCTACCACGCTTTCTCGAGTTCGCGTGCCCTTAATAAAGCAAAACAAAATAAATAGAGACAAAAAGGTGTGATTGACATGAAAGTATTCCCCGTCACCGTCACCGTCACCGTCACTCGGAACCATAGTTTTCCGTGGCCGGTTTAGGTGGCGGTAAAATGGTCCCGTTTTGTGACGGCATTTCCCCCTTGGAAATGCCACATCACAGTGTATAGATGCGTCTCTTTTTATACCGTTTCCGAGGTGCGTTTTCTCAAAATTTCGGAAGGGGGGGGGGACGCTGCCCTCAACTTAAACATTGTTCTTGTACGTGAGTTTTAATGTGTACTAACAATATGTATTTGGGGCCCCAGGTTAAGCTACCACTGGCCTGGGTCTTCGTTGTCCGAGAGGATTTAGAACAAGGAACTTTCTCATTCCACTTCTAGACAATGGTTACCTAAATTTAGGATATTTCGGACGCATGTATTGTAATGGTATGCAGTTTTAGACCCGTGCCTATGCACCGAAAAACTGCATCCTTCGAGGGTTCAAGCCTCACGACTCCTGAGACCGAAATTAATTAAAATTCTAAGATATAAAAGAAAAACAGACTGGCGAGAGAGCGTTTCACGACCGATCAGCTGAGCGCGTCAATATTCCGGATTTTGGGAGGCATGTCCGCGAGAATCGGTTCGAGTGAGTTTTTCTAAGGCTAAGCGCTCCGGCGCCGTCCGGTGTAGAGCAGAATTCGGCGATTTAAATTTTTGGGAAGGTTCTGAATTTTCGGCCCCTTTAATTTAAAGTAGGTGGAGTCCTCGTTGGATTAAGGGGGTTTTCCCTGACTCACGTACTCTAATAAAGAAAAGAAAGGAAAAGGAAATGATTCTCAGTGAGAACGACTTATTCCATCATCGGTGCGTTCTATGTGTTCATCATAGAATCCACAAGGAATATGGAAACATGGGAAGAAAAAGGTTATTCGGATAGTGTGGTTTGGGGTAGGATTCAAATCGGACTTAATAACCGTCCTCGCGTCTCGCCGTGTTTTCCCTTCGAATTCTTACCGTCGCGTTTGATTTGAAACTTGGCCGTTAGTAGGATCGAAATAAAGAGTTGTTAACGGCATTCACCACCAAAGTGGGGACAATGACTTCCACCGCTAGATGGCATTAGCATCGAATTCGGTGGGAGGTGACTAATGCTCTTTCTCATTCGGGTTGAGAGAGATGAAATGTCTTATGGGCGGAGCTTAGATGACGCGGCAACAATGTGTGCGTACATCTTGCACATATACTACACAACTAAAAGCATCTTCGCCTCGGTCTATGTTCAGCCTGACACATTGTGCACGGCCAGTACGTGACTCTGAGTTGGCTTGAGTTTAAAACTCATGGAATTTTGGCCGAAGAAAATAATACATTATTTTCACCGAATAATTTGAAACATTAACATGTGATTAGAGCGGTCCTTAGGAAGGTCTCGAAATTCGTGACATTTCACCTTTCAACCAACAGTTTTTTATTTATCTTGGATACGAAAACAAATTTCTTGTTCGAAAAATGAAATTTTGTGAGTTTTAACTCTTTGTACTCCTTTATCGAATGTGACTCGACATCAGCAATCGGCATCTCAATAATTGGAAGTGCAAAGGGTTCGTCGCAAAACCTTCGTTAGGATTTCAATAATCACGTGCTAAAGTTTCAAATGATTCGGTGCACCCAGTTTGGAGAAAAGTTTTATCAATATTTTGATTTTATATGTACAATGACTTTTTCATATCACCTTAAATATCTCTGTGGATATTGATTCAGGGTATCTGAAATTGGTATCAATGTAATCATTGACATATCCTGTTTCGTGACCATTCGTTAAATATTTATTTTAATGCAAATGTTAAGAAACATTTCGGATATAATTGTCTCAGTCGTCGAGTTGCCGATTTCGGCTGCCTGTCTATGTTATTGAAATTGCTTTGGGTAAAAGAGTTTCTATCGGCCCACTGGTACACCTAATAGCTTGTGCTCGACTTGAGACTCGACCAAGCCTCTTAACCCATTGCACTCCTTTGTTGAATGTGACTCGACATCAACAATCGACATCTCAATAATTTGGAGTGCAAAGGATTAGTAAAATATAACGAAGGACAATTTTACAGGGCAATTACCACACATACTGCCAGATTACATGTTGGTCTTCGCCGTGCCCGTGTTGGCGCACGATCCCGAGTTTACAAACTACATGGACGTGAGCCAGTTGAAGATCATCCAACAATGTTTGTGGTTCATTCTTGAGCCTCTTATCACCAAGAACGAATACTATTGTTATGGGTTCTATAAGAATCTTGTAGAAAGAATGAAAAGTCATAAGGACGCTCTCAGGCCAGACGACGACAACATGAATTGCGTAAGTGAATCTAAACTAATCGATCCAGGAATATGTTAATCGATTTCGCCTCTTGAAAACTAATAGAATGAACGACTCCTTCGTCAATCTGCAGAAATTGTGGGCGGTTTGCGACCTTGCTATGAACGTCATCTTTACGAAGACGACCAACTTCGACATGAAGGAGTTCCCAAGTGAAACACGGATTCCCACGATGTACTTCAAACGGGCCGACGAATTGTTGGCCAACACGAAAAATTACCTGCCCCCTGAAATGCAAATCAACATGTCCAGTCCAAAGGGAAAGGGATCAATACACAACGCGCACACGATCAGCGACAGACCTCAGCGAAGGGCCAAGGGCAAACAAAAGGAGGTCGGCATCGGCCCCAATGAGACCGATGCAAGGGTAATATATTTGATTTCTCAGGATTGTAATGCTATTTTAATTCTATTGGTTAACAAGCGTTGTTACTTCGAGTGTGTCGAGGAATCCGAATTCATTTGGAGAGCTGTGCAATTCGAGTATTCCGGGAATAACTTTTTTCAAGACTAGTATTAAGGAGGAAGGAGTAGGTTTTTAATTCGCGTTTTTTTATTTTACAAACATGAAATTTCATCTCTTCTGCGTGACAACGGGATTGTCACAATGTGTCAATTCTGTTCCCAGAAATTGTAGTAATGCCTTTGAAGGGATGAATTAACAAAAAATAAATCAAAATTACAAAAAAGTTCTACGGAGTTCCCTAATGCGATTGATTGGCTGTGCTTCAATTAGTTACTACCGGAAAGTTATGCACTGTAGGAAAAAATAGTCCAGGACTTTTCGATTCATTTTCCAATAGGGATAGCGCTGTCTAAACCGTGACCAGCATTTCTGTTAAACCCTGTATAAAAAATCAGATGTTACAAATGATCACTTTGTTATCTAGGGCATTTGCTTCCAGTTCTTGCGGACGGTGATACCAGCAGACACACGGAAAAGTGCATGATCTTGTCTGATACAAATATTTTTTGTTCAAATCAGCATGTTAAGGTGACGTGAAACACATCGAGAAATTTGTTCGACGTCTGTAAAAAAGATTCTTCTAAATACTTACGTTACCAACGTCCATATTTATATTAACAGCTGTGACAAATTAAACCATTTTTATAATACCTATATACAAATTAAAAAAAAATTGAAATTGCGTGAGTTTCAAGACCTTCCTTAAAGCCTCCACATTCACGTTATAAAGTTTGAAACGATTCGGTGCACCCAGTTCGGAGAAGTTTCATAAACGAGACCTCTTTGACTCCATTTTAACATCACCTTAAGCCCTAAATTTATACATCTATAGTCCATAGGGGAACTGAGGAGTCCATGTATATAAAAATGATTTCAAATTGAAAAGTAATTATTACTTTGTCGTTTCTACAGTATAAATAAAACAATTTTGTTTTTGCTACAAATTCATCGATTGTTTGACAATATAAAATAATAAACACTATTATGTTATATTTGTGCACTGACGTTAAGGGGATGTGAAAGTAGCATCCCGAGGAGTCAATCGTTCATGAAACTCTTCCCCGAATTGCGTGTGCCAGATCGTTTCATACTTTATATCGTGAATGTGGAGGCTTAAAAAACGGTTTATACACTCGTAAAATTAGTATTTTTTATAACAAATTTTAAAAATATCTATGAACAAATTTTTAAAAAAATTTAAATTTCATCAGTGTCAGGACCTTTCTTACACCCTCCATATTTATATTGTAAACTTTGCACCGATTCGGTACACTCAATTTGAAGAAAAGTTTCATAAACGAGAACTCCGACGCCACTTTCACGTCACCTTAACATACATACATAACTCATTATCGCAATCGTGTTGGATATTGTCGCTAATGCACGACAGATACCCTTTTCAAAAATTAAAGACATCTAAGAAAGAAATTTGTGATAATTTAAACAATTTGTTCTGCTTTTATTCTAAAATCCGTTGGATTATAGGTAGCTTTACTCTGCTCTCAATATCGCTGCGCTGTTATCAGTGTTCACACGAACTGGAAAAAAGTGGTCAAGCTAACAAAGTAATCATTTGTGATACCTGATTTTTTTGCTATAATAATTTAAATGATTTAAGTTAACAAATCAATCGAAAGAAAACGTGGAACACCGCGGAACTTTTTTGTAATCTAGATTCAAGTTCATTACTTGACGATATCATCACGCAATTACGACACTTACCAAATTCATCATTAGATCGATAATAAATTAATAAAATGAATAATTTTTAACATAATACGGAAGCGCATACCTATTGCTACTGAATCCAAGTCGGTAAGTCACTTACGTTATGTTTTAATAAAAATAAATAATGTATTTGCCTAGGCGTATCCGCGCGTAAATTATGGCGGCCAAGTAAATGTTGAGCGGATCGATGCCTTTCAGATCTCTTCCTGGGGATGCTAGTATCAATACGCCAAAGCTATCTGCCGAACTTAGAGCTAGGATTATAATAATATGTTCCTAAATGCTTTGTTTCTGATTTTGTTACAACTCGAAAATTGATTTTTGTCAAACTAGATCATGCATTTTTTCGTGTGTGCGGTGGACGAAAGCTCGCAGAATTATATGAACTTTAGTTCCGAGTAATTGAGATGTTGTGAAAAGCGTCTTTAAAGGTCAATTTCACGGATACACTTTTATTATGAATGGGTGAATCGATTCGTCTAAAATGTTAACACATGATAGTGGGGGTGCTAAGAGTGTTCCTGATGCTAAACAAAATATATTTTTCGAAAAAAATGTTTTATTTAGTACAGAGCAGAACCAAGTTTCACATATTTTTTCGGTATTTCACATCGAGAAGACCCTAAAGTAATAATTGAGAGTATCAGGATTCAGGCTCAATCATTTGAAACACGACGGTCACAGAAAATTATACATTTGAACCCGAAAAATGTGAAACAAATTTATCCATGCATTTGAAGTATGCGATGCAGGTCACTCATGCACTGTAACTGCCGTGGGAGCAAAAATTCGTGGCCGCTGAAACAACACATAACGCTAAAGTGTCGATAAGACTATTAAAAATAACGAATTCAAGGGATATCTTGAGTTTTATTCCGATTACTTCATAATCATTCTACTGGAATGATATATAGAATATACCATTTCATATAAGTCGCAATATAGAGTGTAACTTACAACAGTATAAATATAAATGTCGGTAACGTGGCACGCATACTCAGGTAATCTCTCTGGTTAAATGATATACTAGAATTCTTATTTACCGACGTCAATTAGATTTTTCTACGCCTTTTACAACATCTTAATTCTCAGACAGAATATAAATATTCTCATGATTTTAATCGTGAGATTTCTTATTACTACGGACAAACATAATACTACAACATAAATTTCGATCACATATGGTAAATATTTGGGTTTAGGGAATAATACACTAAAGAGAATTAAACATTCATTTCTGTTTTTTTTTATGCCAAATTTGACACAAAACTTTGGGAAAAGAATTGAAAAGTTGCCGTAGAAACCCAAAAAAATACGGACGTTTGATGCTCGATAAGCGGCACGTCAGCCAACGGATGGCGGCGCTGTAATCATCTCTCCATTTCTCTCAATTTAATGGCGATGTGCATGTAACGGACTACATGCATTATTTACCTTATTTACAGTACCCACCTTGCTATACGTTATTTTTTTTCTCCCATATATGAGATGGCGTTGGTTAACACGTGCGATCTCGCTTTTAGCCCTACTCCTGATTTATTTGTTAGCTTTCAAAGCATCACGCGCTAAAAAAGAAGCTGGACTTCTGTGGAATCTCTGAATTATTTGCCTTGAACAGAATTTTGCGCGATCGCAGCTCTGATTTAAGGTAATTAAATTAAACTGAACGTATCTTTAAGGTGAAATGCAACATGTCGAGAAATTTTATCAACGTCGAAAAAAAGATTCTTCTAAATCCCTATGTTGCCGATGTTCGTATTTATATCGACAGTAGCGTCGAATTATATTAGGTATTGTACTAAATGGCGTACTCCATATGTCATTTCCGTGCAATAATTATAAAGAAATCGAAGTAAAATTCCAGAAATCTCCTGGATTCATGGTTTTTGAGGTCCTAATTGACAGCGGAGTGCCACGCTGCGCCATTTCTGATTTCAATCACAACTAAATTTTCTCTCCGAAACCTCGTGCTACCATTGTTTTAGCATAGAAGCTTGTAAGATACTTTTTTGCTTTTATTCCGTTTAAATGCTTGTTTATCGATTACCAGAGCGTTGTAAATTGTCGTACAATCGTCCTCACACTTTTGTTTTTCATATTAGAGCCTTCAATAAATGTGTATTGATCGAAATATGAGAGCGCAACGCTATTTTGGTTCTGGTTTAGGCTAAGTCAACAAATTTTTTTCTCGAAAATCACAATTTTGAAAGTGTCAGGATAATTAGGTGCTCACGAGTGACGTGTGAAAGTTTCGAACAGTTCGGTCCAATATCCGTAAAAAAAGTATCTTATTCAAGTCGGCTGATTTGAGGGGGTTTTTATGTCACCCCAAAAGATTGCAACAGAAAGAAATAAGTAATGAAAACATGAATTTTACATTAAAAGAAAATTCTTCGCATTATTTTTATAATATATGATATCTTAACGTCTACGCTCGGTAATAGTTATATTAAATGTTTTATATTTATAAGATTTTTTCTAATCAGAAGAAATATTCGAATTGCACATCTCTTCAAGTCATACACTGAGCGAAAAAAATCACTTTCTAGAGAGAGAGAGAAAAAAAAAGAGAAATTCTTGTGTCGAATAGATCTTTATTGACTACTGTCAACAAAATAAGATCAAATGAAATGAAGGCAAATTACAAATAATACTTACTTTTCTTCAGTTCAATTTTGCTAAATCTGTTGGACTCATCATCGATACATTTTCTGTGCATAAATGTGTTATAAAGAAAAATTGATTCACTTCAACAAGGAGAAGACTGTGGAATATTGAATAATATTCTTGCAAGAGTCTAGAATTTAAGAGATTTATCAATGTGTTTGATGGCTTTTCTTTAACAGTTATCGGTGATTCTTGTATTCTTTCATTAACATCAAACAATATTCATTCTCTATTCAGAATTTTCTTACATCAAGTATTAGGTTAAATTCATTACAACATTCTATCCGAAATGTGATATAATTTTCATTAATATTTGCAATACTTAAGACCAATTTTGTATATAAAATCCTTTTTGCAGAATCATTTTCCCTTGATGTTAACTTGCCATAATTTTGGTTGCAACACTGATGATTCTTAGTAAATCAATTTTACTGGAGCCAAGAAATTTTCTTCAGCACGAAACATTTACATTGCCGCAAATAATGAATTTCGCCTTGAAAGTAAAT